ATGGATGAATGGACATGTCGACAAATTAAACAATGACAAAACCTATTCGTTCATGCAGACCTTCTGAAATAAGATTTATCTAGTTCAACAAGTTTTAACAGTGTGTGTCTTTTAGAGGCAACTGGCCTCATTACTTCAAGTCATGTTTTAATATTGTGAACAATGGGGAGTAATAATAAAAGTCCAAAGTTTTTAAGTTGTAGTCAAAGAGAAAGCAATTCATTCACAGCAATGCTCAAATGGATGCTTTCCCATGGAGAATAATAATAGAAGAAGAGAGTATTTGTTTTTGTTGCACATGATCTACTTCTTATACTGGCTGTATTTTACAGTTTGAGTGGGATTTTGAACACAGAGGTTGTTGTGAGTAATCACAAGGGTTTTAAAGAGATAGTTCACTGTATCTTTATTTACACACCTTCATGTGGTTTCAAACCTGTTTGCTTTTCTTTTTTCCAATGAACCAAATGTAAGATATTTTGAACAATATTACTTTTGATAATAATTTTGTACTATTGAAGTCAGTGGCTCAGAGTTTGAACCAAAGAGACATTAAATAATGGAGCAAATGCCTGTGAACTGACTATCACAAGCTAGTTATTTTATAGTTATTTGATTTTTTGATATTTTATTGTAAGGGTCCATTTATTAGTTCTATGACAGAACAGAACTAACAGATTGGTTGGAGGTTAAATGCATGTAAACCTTCTCTCAGGCAGCTGAAAACAGATTACTAAAAATCCTAAACTTTTATTTCATGAATCTAATTTTGACCCTTACTTTTATCTGACTCTGATTTAAAATAATTTAAATTTAGATTCATCTTATTGAAGCTGATCACCTTATAGGTTGTGATATGGTCTAATTTAGATCGTTTAACCTAATAATTCCTCATTTTCAGTTAAATATGTCTTATACCTGTATTCTGCACTTGCTGCTATTGCACTGCTGGTTAGACCTAAACTGCATTTCATTGCTTTGTACTTGTATATGTGTAATGACAAGAAAGTTGAATCTAATCTAATCTAATCTTGATAGTTCATCATTTACCCGAAATCAGTATGCTGTCCAGTTACATATGCTCACGGACACAGCCTAGCCAATTCTGGTTCTTAGATAGAGGATATAACTGTAAACAAATTTCTTTTAAATAATATTAAGTCGCCCCATGCTTGCTCATACATAAAGAAAATTTGATTTAGCTACTAGATTATATCATACTAAGTCAGTGATTGTCAGTCTTTAAAGCTGTGCCTATGCTCACTTCATTAAGCCTGATTGTATGACAATCCTGGTCGAAGGGTGCGGAAACCTAAACCTAAACAATTTACTAGATTTACAATGATTTCAGGAGATGTAAAAAAAGAGTTTTACATTTATTTGACAAAGATTTTCCATGTCAATTCACATAATTAAACAAAATAAGCCAATTAGGAAATGTAAAACATCAGTTATACAAAGATATTTAAGAGTTAGAGATTAATATTGCACCGTGTAGAAGTACATTGCAGCATATAATTCTTGATGCAAAGCTCAGAGACCTACACAATGCAATGGAGAATCCTGGCTACAGGATCCCACCGACACTTTTGCACCTTTCCTTTAAATACTCAAATCCCAACAAATGATCATAAATTCAAGACAATAAAAGCATCACAAAGACCCTTGTCTGGTCATGAGTTGATGTGAAGACCATTTTCCTTAAGTGTCTGGCAAAGATCTTATCAAAGATGAAACCCAAATCAGCATATAGAAGTGATATTGTGAAATATTACAGTGCGATTGAGACCACTTTACCAATCACACAGAGACATTTAAAATGATACCAAACATGAATATAGAGCCACAAGATGGAAACAAAGTGTGAAGGGGAAGGGCTTCAAAATTTACCACTAAAGCCTGGTTTATTCTAGACGCATCCGCTAGTTTACTTGAGTGCGCAGCAAATGTGACATCATCGATGTGTTTGCAGAGGTTCGCTTTGGGTGCGCATGACATGGTTCAGCTGGCGAAGCGGACATTTTTTTGAGAGTCGAGCGAAAGGAATATTCAACACAATCACACGGCAATTCGTAACTTTTTTATTTAGTGGCTAATTCGTATGAATTCGTACGACATAATTCGTACAATTTAGTACGATTTGCTTATCCCCCAATGACGGTTGGGGTTAGGGGTAGGGTTAGGTGCCACGCCTCCTTTTTAAAATTGTATCATTTCGTACAACTGAAATCATACGAATTCGAAAAATCGTACGAACGTAAAATACTTACGTTTTCTCGTGAGATCAGGCTGGAATATTTGAACCAATCAGTTTACAATATACTAGTGCTCTGTTTTTCTAGGCTTTTATTGGTGATAATGGTCAGGAATGTCGGACTATTATTGCCTTTTTGGCATATCAGTCGAGGACAAAGTAGCCAGACACTAATGTGTGAATTGTTTAGTGGGTTAAATAAAAAAAAAGTCTTTAGTTTTTATATTTTTAGTAAGCATACTTTTTTTTATTTTGTTCTTGCCATAATAAAAATATATATTTATAGAGTAACCCATGTTCTGTTGTCATTAATATTTTTAATAAAATTTTATAGGTAGAACTGAACAAAAGCAAGTGATGCATCAGAGTTTGAATAAAGAAATCTTGAATAGTTATAAAGATTTTTTTATAATTATTCAAATAATTTCAAAAATTTTTTTTTAAAAACCTTGAACGATATTAATGATATGACGTAGTTCTGAAAACTTCCTACTTCTCTGTTTATTTGTCTGATTTTACAGTAAGTTTAAGCGTAGTATAAATCAGGCTTAAGAAGTGGGACACCACTCTAGCACCTGCACACGACATCATGTCAATGCGATCTCATACCGCATCAGATCAGACGATGGCGACAGATGCAGCCAATCCAGTTGCATTATTTTTTGGTATTTATCTTTAGGAAATCACTAAAGGCATATAATATGCTATCATAATGATCTAATGTAGCAATAAGATCGTAACTGTGCATTTACACAGTGGCCATATTCATCTATGTAAACAAATAAAAACAACATTAACAATATAGTAGACACTGTAAAAAGCTTATTCCCAGCCACTAGACTTTTCTGACAAGGTATTTGAGTGTCATCGAGTGTCAGAATGTTGTTGAATTGGAGTTGAATTGGGATTGGGCCTTAACTATCCTTACATTAGATACTGTTTATGTAGTGTACTCTATAAATAGAATCAAATAATTAATTAATGGGGTAAGTTAATGATTTTCTGAAAAAAAAAAGAGAAAGCGGCTGATGAATCATTGTTTTGAACAAATTAGTTCAGTGAATTATCAATAATTACTCATAAAGACTTGTTAATGCAACCTGCAACAAAATTGCCCTACACTAAACTTTACAGTCTGTCTGAATCACCGCTTTCTTATTTGGTCTTATTGTGTCACTTGTTCTTCTTTGAAAGCCTATTGTGTTTAATAATAAAAAAAAAAAACATTTCGTTTAATTTCTGCCATATAGCTTTGGAAATATCACAGCTATATGGCTGGTTTGTATTGCAATTTCACACACTTTCAGTAGCTCTCTATTATTTGTCTCTGTCTCTATAGACTGGGAGGCAATTTTGCCATTATGCTGTGTGACATACAGTACATTAAGCCCATGCCATGCTGATAAAAACGAGATGGCTTTGATAGCTCCATCTGAGCTCTCTAGCCACATATCTAACATGAAATCTAACAAAATGTATAAACAATAATATAACATAACACCTTTCCTGTCACATGCTATTGAGGGGAAAGAACTTTGAATTACTGTATTTTAAGCTTATGAGATTCCAGGGTTTTGTGTTATTGTACAGTAACTTCCTAGAACTGTTCTCAATGTCCATTAAATCTAGGACAAATGTAACATCTGTCTTGTTTTGTGACTAATTCCACAGAGATGAGCTTGGTGTGTCAGGCACTGTAATAAACAGATGTTGGTGTCTGGTGTTTAATAAGTTTCTTTTTGCCAAATGATGCACTAAAATGTGGCCTTTAGCAGTGTTTCTCAACCATGTTGGAGCCAGCTCTGCACGTTTTCCATGTCACCTTAACCAAACTGATTCAGGTCTTCAGCTCATTAGCAGCGATTGAAAGACCTGGAATGGGTGTGACAGACAAATGAGACATCCAAAACATACAGTACCTGTCAACATTGGGATATAAAACAATAAGGTATATGCCCAACGTAACACCCCCCGCCCCACTGCAAAAAAATTAAAAATAGAAATAATAGTCCCAGATTACTAAATAAGTTCATGTGGAGCTGTTTTGTTGTAAATAAACTGTAAAATGTCAGTAATATGTTTTATTATAATTATTATTATTTCCAAAGGAACAAATACGTAGTATAAATTATCACCAAATAAATTTAGTAACAGTTGAATTATTAAAATTAATATCTATATAAATAAATAAATAAATAAATAAATAAATAAATAAATAAATAAATAAATAGAATCAAGTTATCATATTTCATTAATATTTTCTTTACTGTATAACTTATACATTTTGATGAAAGTTTTTTAATCAAATCAGAAAAATCATCAGAAAAATTTTTGTTTGATTACATTAAAAACAGTTTTGTCACTTTAAAAATGCACACATCTAACATTATAATGAAAGCATTTGATTGCTAAGCTAACTTTTTGTGTTCATTTAGGTCAAAAATAGTTGTGTTTGGAAAAACCTACCATGATCGAGATCTTTACGAGGGGTTGCGGGGGGCAACCCCTGGTGGTTTGGCAGTATGGGTTGTGTATATTATTGCCGCCTTCATAGAAAGATTGAAAATATGGGAAAATACCTTCACGGGATGATAGCTGGATAGAACTGTAAAATACAGGAGAATCTTGGGAAAAACGGGAGGGTTGGTATGCCAAAACATGCAGTGTATGCCAGGAACATGATTGAGAAACACTGGCCCATACAATTTTGTAAGTTGATCATTGTTCAATGTTTTTTTTTAAACAGGTTTCATATTTAGGAACTGCACCAAGGATGGTTGGACTGAAGTCTACCCATCATATGAGAATGCTTGCGAGATTGTAGAGGATGTGGAATCGGAAACTGAGGTATAACACTGTTATTTGCTATTCTCCATGTGTGTAATAGTCAAATTTACTAACAATATTAGAGTGAAAATTGTTTTACACAATTTTATTTTTCAGTGTAGAGGACCTTGCCTACTTATTCACTTTGTACTTGGTAAATTGTTTTTTTGGGAGGTGGTAATACATTTTTGTGGTAGGAAAGAATACAGTTTTCTTTAAAATTTATAGTTAACTTGTTGTAAAGAACAAGTATGGAGTGTTGAGTGGATGTTTTGCACTTTTCTTGGCAAGTAGTCAATTTATGAACTGTCAGTCTGCGTGGTCAAGCCATTTCCACGTGAACTGAGATCTAGGGTCAGAGTCCATTGATTGAATATCCTGTTGTGGGATTTAGGATAGAATATAGTCTTGCAGAATGAGACATTATTTAATGCTTTCTAAGTAACAAGAAGCCAATTTACAAGCTAACAAGTAACTATTTAATGGTTGCATAGGTTACTATATTAAAGTGTTACTATGTTATCTACAATGATTTATTAATGTTTGTGAGGCTACATGGCAAAATATCACACAATGACAACTTGCTGACCAAAATGATCTACTGAAGTTCAGACTGACTGCATCAGAAAGGAAACAAAGGTGATTTAGGAGACATTAAATCTGAGTGTTTTATAAGCTCTTGATGTACTGGGATTTTGACAAACAACCATATCAAATATTTACAGAGTTTGGTTTACAAAAGAGTTGTACAATGTGCGGGAGTTTAATGGGTGAAAATGCCATCTTGATCCCAGAGAATGACCAGAAGGTTTTGAGCTAAGAAAAAGGCAGTAACTGAATTAAACACTTGTTAAGGCCTGGATACATCAAGCCAACAGTTGACCACTAGGCAGCGCCAGGCCATTGGTGAGCATCTGTCAGATTTGTTTGTTTGGTGTGTTCCACACGTTGCCTCTCATCGGGTTCACATTGAAGTGAGTTTGCCTAATTCAGCTTGCAGTTGACCAAATCAACAAAACAAAAACTAAAGTGACTAAACTGAGCAACCAACACAAGTCAAGCAATAACACAAAGAATATGGCTGTCATTTTGTGTGATTTCTTAAATATTTTGCAAAATATATGGGATTTATGAAGTATGAAAATAAGAAAATGCTGCTTTGTTTAATGGTTTGTATGTGTGCAGCACCAGTTATGGTTTTCCTTTGTGGAATGGCAATACAGTTACTACCTCCTATAGGTACAGAAAGATATATCCTCTCACACAGGTGCACTATATATAAATATCAGGTTAGCAAGTATTGAGAGTTTAATTTGGATGCCAGTGAACCTCTTTCTGTCATCAGTGGAAAACATGTTCGATGTCTCAATATCAGATGAGTTGGGACCACTTTCAAACTTTAGGTGACCTAAACTTCTTCCTGATTTTTTGGAAATCAGTGGATGTCTTTTGGGTGTGAGTGCACCACTTCTGAATATATTTTGCATGCATTTCAGATATCAATAGACCACTTGGACATATTTCAGATAAATTCCAGACATCAATGGACTACCTTCAGATGTCAGTGGATGCCTTTCGTACATCTGTTGGACGTCTTCGGATGTCTTACAAATGTCATAAGACCACATGAGATACTTTCGGACATCAGTGGACATCTTTTAAATGTTAGTGGACTGCTTTTGGAGGTCTTTCAGATGTCAGTGGTCTGCTTTTGGATGTCTTTCGGACATCAGTGGACTACTTGCAGACAGCTTTTAGACATCAGTGGAAGTCTTTTGGATGTTAGTGGACGTCTTTTAGACATAAGTGGACTGCTTTCAGACATTAGTGGACATTTTTCAGCCCTCAGTTTTGACCAATAGTGGACTTCATTCAAACATATTTTGGACATCAGTGGACTGCTTTTGACATCAGTGGACATCTTTTGGATGTCAGTGGTTGCCTTTTGGATGTCAGTGGACATTTCTTAAATGTCGGTGAACTTTTTTTTTTATGTCAGTGGACTTTTATTGGATGTCAGTGGATGACTTTCTGATGTCTTTGGAGGTTAATGTATGGTTTTCAGACCTCAGTGGACAACTTTTGAAAGTTTCTCAAGTTGCCCCTTTCTCTGGGGATATTTTTTATAGTAAATTAATATTGTATGCTTTATTGTCAATTGTCTGTTTGGGTGTTGTTCCAGACCAGACACAGTGACACTGCCGGATTTGTTGCCACTAGTTCTTTGATATCAGCCTGAAGTGTCGCAGGCTTTACAAGTGAGGTCTAAAGAAGAGCTTCTCTGAATGCTGCACCCTGAAGCAGATAAGCAACAGCAACAGAAAAGCACACCCATGCTACATATTTCTGCTTAACAGAAATTGAGATCTCAATATGTATAAGCTTAACAAAATTAAGACAAGGAGTTCACTACTTTACTAGCTTCCACAGTCACTAGGTTTTTAATCCAACAGAGCACCTTGTTGAAATCTGTTAAAACAGAAAATTTGCATCAGAGATGTTCAATCAACAAATCATGTCAAGTTTCAAGGCAGTTGGGTCTAATGCAAAAGCCAAAAATTGTCGAAAATATATTTATATTGTAGACCTATTTTTATGGATGCACACTGAAACCCTGACTTACTCCCTTCTCCCTAATACTACCACCACTCTGAGCTTTTCACTCTATTTGCATAAAAAGCTGAGCATTACTCATCTATTTAAATGCTGCCCTAAGGGACTTTGCACTGTCACAGTTTCATTTACTCTGCTGTCAGGCCTAAGTTCTGCAATGCAATCCTTAACACAGTTCCCATACAAAAAATGGATTGAAATCACTGCTCACTTGCGGCACACATACAGTGCATCTGTATGGCCTGCCCATTTGTTGATCTCTTCAGCACTTAGCTTGCTCTTTCTATAAGAAAGGCCATTTTGCTTTTGTCATGTTGATTTGAGCAAACTGTAAACATTTTACCAACAAAAACTGCTTTTAGTGTAAACATTCTATAATCTGTCTGTCATTTTCTTATATTATCTCTTTCTTTTTGTGACAGAAGACCATGGTTAAATGTTAAATAGCAAAGAGACAATACTCTGAACAACAATTCACAGATAATATGATTTTGTTTAACACACACTGGTACAGCTAACCCACATAGCTAAATATCTCTGGCCCAGCTCTGGCCCACACAATCAGCTTTTGCTTGGCCCACATGCTGCAGTGAATTATGGCAAATGACTGGAATAAGTCTGGCTTGCAGACAAGGGCCAAACATGGACCATATCAGGGCCAAGTCTTAGCCAAGTTAATAACCCATAACTGAGCCTGAACTGGGCCAGATATGTTGGTGTGTCACGACTGCAGTGAAATTGATAAACCCATGAATCATTGTGCTTTAGGCGTGCTATCGGCTTGCTTTTTCTCGAAGCGACCTGATTGGTAGAATTTTTTTTCTTTACTTTAAAATAATAAAAACGCATTTTAAATGTGGGTCAAGATAGGCCAGACTTATATGGCCCACATATAAATTAATCACATCTGGGCCTAATACTACATTTTTCATCTTGCCCAAGTATTGTGTGCCGCCTTAAAGATGGTACCACCTCTGTGAAACCAGGGCCATGTTTGGCCCACATGCTGGATGCCAGTGCCAGATGATCATCTGCTATGCCAGATTTATGCTAAATCGTGGCCAGAATTCTTTGCTACCTGGTATCTTTACAGAAACTTCCCATAGACTTAATGATTTGTATACTGTACAGACTGTATAATCTCTTCCCCTGCCCCAAATTCTCCCCTAAACTCAAGCCCCACAGTAAACAATCTGCTTTTTTACATTTTCAAAATACTTCATTCTGTGTATTTTAAGAGATGTTTTCCTCATGGGGACCAAAAAAATTTATTTGGTCCCCATAATGTAAAAAAATACAAGGTAACAAACCCCCCCAAAAAAGCAAGCAGTTCAAGGTTAGCAGATGAGAGTGTTCTTAATGTTAACAAACCAACTGTAGTTGAAGACAAGAACATAATACTCCCTTCAGAAGGATGCAATTAATATCTACCACATGAACTCTATTTTTATAATGGGGTTCACTTGTGCTTGCATGGGGTTAAAGGTCCACCTGAAGTATAATTAGCTGCATATGCTGAAGTGCTAGAATAAGATGACCTGCTTTTATATTGGCTAATGACTGAAAAATACAGCATGCAGAGAAACGCATTAAGAGATGTTTCAATAATGTTTACATTTCATTATCCCACAGTCTTCTGTATGTGTGGTTTACTAGCTGGGGTGAAAGAGTAAAAATGAGCCCTCTGATTGAGCATTACATTTATTCATATAGTGGGTACAGAACATATTCAGAAATTATTCAGACACCCTACAATTTTTTACTCTTTGTTATATTGCAGCCATTTGCTAAAATTATTTAAGTTCATATTTTTTTCCTCTTTAATGTACACACAGCACCCCATATTTACAGAAACTATCTGAATTGTTCACAATTTTGCAGATTTTTAAAAAAAGAAAAACTGAATATCACAAGGTTCTAGGAATTCAGACCCTTTGCTTAGTATTTGGTAGAACCACCCTTTTGGTCCAATACAGCCATGAGTCTTTTTGGGAAAGATGCAACAAGTTTTTCACACCTGGATGTGGGTATCCTCTGCCATATAGATCCTCTCTAGTTCTGTCAGGTTGGATGGTAAACGTTGGTGTATAGCCATTTTAGCCATCATGTAAATTGGGTTTTATCAGGGCTCTAGCTAGACCATTCAAGAACAGTCATGGAGTTGTTGTGAATCCACTCCTTCTGTATTTTAGCTGTGTGCTTAGGGTCACTGTCTGGTGAAAGGTAAACCCCTGGACCAGTCTGAGGTCCTGAGCACTTTGGAGAAAGTTTTCATCCAGGATATACTTGTACTTGGTCACATTCATCTTTCCCTCAATTGAAACCAGTCGTCCTGTGTAACCCTGCCGGTCCTACGCCACCCAACCCGCTTTGAGCTGGTATCGAACTGGTGACCTTTCACATGAGAGTCGGGTGCTCTACCAAGGAGGCCAAAGAGCACCTTTAGATGTCAGAGGAGTGAGGTTTTCCTGCACAGCACTTACTAGCTGGCTTCTGCTATACATGCAGCTGAAAAACACCCCTACAGCATGATGCTGCCACCACCATGCTTCACTAATGGGACTGTATTAAACAGGTGATGAACAATGCCTGGTTTTCTTCACACATATACAGTACCACTTAGAATTAAGGCCAAAAAGTTGACTTTCTATAACTTTCTCCCGTCTCCCAACTGCATCTCTGGAGCTCAGCCACAGTTATCTATGGGTTCTTCTTTACCTTTCTCGCCAAGGCTCTTCTACCCTAATAGCTCAGTTTAGCCAGACTGCCAGCTCTAGGAAGGGTTCCAGTCATCCCAAACCTCTTTCATTTAAGGATTATGGATGAAACTTTGCTCTTAAGAACCTTGAGAGGGACATAGATTTTTTGTAACTTTGGCCAAATCTCAAATATTTCCATTTTTCCATGAACTTGTTGCAATAATTTTTGAATATTGCAAAAATATCCAAATAGGGGTTTTAATATTTCTTATTTGCTGCACTTGAATGAAGAATAATGTAACTATTATATAACACATTCTTAATTTATTTTTCTACACACTATCAATGGTTGACTACAACCTCGATTATAACATCTATAATATTTTTGACCTCAAGCAGTGAGACTTTTTCATGAAATCTACTGGTTTAGAACTATTATCATTAAGAAGCAAACCCAGTAGTCTAGCAGATAAAAGCTTATATTTTAAATAATATAATATACACTCCTTTTTATGTGTGCTGCAGCTTAATGATTGTAAAATGACTGCATTCTGAATGTTAATGCTGACATTTGTTCAACTTTGTCTTTTCCTGCTCTTGTTAGGTAGGACTTGTCAAGCTGGAAAAAGTGATGTGCTTGATTAAACCTGAGCCGATTAAGCCAAACATTAGCCCGTAGATTCATTTGAAATGCATGTGTTACATAACAAATGTCGTGAACCAGTTCTGAGCAGAATTTCTATGTAAATTGTTCTCAAAAACAGATTCCTACATTAATTTCAGTGAAACCATTCATGTTCAAATGGATTTATCCACAATATGTTCTGCTTGTCTCAAGAATAACCAGAAAATGTTACAAAAAATGCATTTGTTGAAATTGGAGGAAAGATTGAAATAACTTCACATATTTTTCTTATTCTTTTTGGATTTGTTCCAGACCACATATTATGCCACTTTCAGACAAGTGTACACTGCAGGCTACGCCACCTCTTTGATTTCCCTCATCACTGCCATCTTTGTGTTTACAGTCTTCAGGTAATGCAAAACTCCTCACTAAGCTCAGCAGCTATTTGAAAAGGATTAATCAGTGTGAAAAAGCTGTTGTTTAATTTGGCAATCTGTTTTATTTCATTCAAAAACAGGAAGTTCCACTGCACCAGAAACTATATCCACATCAATCTGTTTGCATCCTTCATCCTGCGAGCCAGCGCAATCTTCATCAAAGATGCAGTTCTCTTTGCTGATGAGAATCTGGATCACTGCTTCATGTCAACAGTGAGAAACCACCAGCTGTCACACACTCAAGGAGAATTAGTTTTTTTCATAGATGTCTTTCCAATGAATTGGCAAATGCAAATTAAACATGTCAAAGCTCATGTTGATAACACTTTATTTTGATGTTCCCTTTAGACATTCTGTTGACTATTTATAGCTTTGCCCAGCCAGTTAATGCTTATTAGAGTTTTGGTAAACTCTCTGCTTAAAATCTGTTAAAACTTTATTTTGATGGTTCTCTATAAACAGTTGAAGTCAGAATTATTAGCCCCCTGTTTATTCTTCCCCCAATATCTGTTTAACAGAGATAATTTTTTTTCCAACACATTTCTAAACATAATAGTTTTAATAACTTATTTCTAATAACTTATTTATCTTTACTATGATGACAGTGAATAATATTTTACGAGATATTTTTCAGGACACTTATATACATCTTAAAGTGACATTTAAAGGCTTAACTAGGTTAATTAGGTTAACTAGGCAGGTTAGGGTTACTTGGTAAGGTATTGTACAACGATGGTTTGTTTTGTACTATTGAAAAAAAATTGCTTAAAGGGGCTATTAATTTTGACCTTAAAATATTAGTAAAAAATTAACTGCTTTTATTATAGCCGGAATAAGACAAATAAGACTTTCTCCAGAAGAAAAAATAATCAATGAAGGGCATATATTTCTGACTTCAACTGTATATACTGACTAAAAGGTACTTTGAAAGTGTCATGACACACAGCAGATTTGACACAAGAGTAAGGGTGAATAACAATATTAGTGGTCTTAACTGAAAGGGTTGAGCATGAAAGAAGTAGAGGAATCTGTTGCAGACATACACAACACACGTAGAGGGAATCCAAGAAGATGTAGACAACACAGAGGCGTTGGAACAGGCAGAGTGCAGGAATCCGGAATCTTTGCGTACGAGCGAGCACGGCCATTTGAATCTTTTTGACTTAAGACTTCAGGTCTCATTCACCTCTATTCATTTTCAGACGTTAAACAGCTTGTTATTTCTAGTAAATTCTCCCATAGGCAACTGAATCGGAAGTTATTAAACAATCGCGAATACAAGTGCACTTCCACATTGAAGAATAAGTTCAATACTGTGTGTGTGTCTCTGTGTGCAGGCGATGATCATTAGAAATCGGGTGATTGGGAAAAGGGTTGCTGCGTCCCAATTTGTATGTTTATCCTACGCCCTAAAAGTATGTACTTTTTTGTGAAGGAAAAATATATAGTTTTGAGTGTACAACAGAAGAGTATGCAAGCTTTTGGACATACTACTTCCTCATTAACAGAATTGCCATTCGTGAGTCTTTCATGCAGAGAAATCTTCTCAGGTCTATGGATAATTATGCATTTAGACGTTAATTTCCAAACACTTCTTTATATAAGTTCAGTATTGTTGTTGCAGATGAAATAAAACACAGAAAACACGATTTAAATATGTTCCGGTTGGCTAGATATTAATTAGCAGTCATACATACATCTTTACCGAAGCTTGCGCATCCATGTTTGTAGTTTATTTACACTATTTACCGGTGTTTGTAGTTCTTATTGAATTCACATCCAAAGCGCAATGTACTCTGGGCAATATTAGTGCTTAGAGTATGGACCCTTCTACACTTAACATTTTTACCAGAAATAGTAAAACATTCAAAAACCTTTGGCATACTGTATTCAACATACTACAATTTGGGACATGCTAATTCTATTTTTAAATACTATTTAGGATGGATAGTATGCAAATTAGGACGCAGCAGGTGTGGGTTCTGACAAACAAGGTTACTTTAGCGTCTGCCTGACAGAAAGTACTAATTCTGTAAACCTTAACCTAACAGTATATTAATCCTTTACCAATACTAAGTTTTTTCCATACCTGCACTGCAAAAATGCTTGTCTTCCTTAGAGTTTTCGTCTTGTTTCTAGTCCAAATATCTAAAAGTTCTTAAATCAAGAAGCATTTCTTAGACAAGCAAAACATATAGTCTTGTTTTAAGAAATAATTTGCCAAAATGAATTTAGTTTTGCCTTAAAACAAACTAACTATTCTGCCAATGGGGTAACTAAAATAATCTTGTTTTTCTTTCTGACATAAGATTATTTTGCTTACCCCGCTGGCAGATTATTTTTCTTGTTTTAAGGGAAAACATCATTTTGACATATTATATCTTAAAATGCTTCTTTATTTAAGAATGTTTAGATATTTGGACTAGAAACAGGACAAAAAAATCTAAGCAATAACACTTTTTTTGCAGTGTGGCTTGTTTTTTTTGTTTAGTTTTTTTTTGCTGTTGTTTTTAGAAACCTTTATGATTTTCTTACTTTGTTTGGTTCATTCAGGTTTACAGTGGCTATTATAGGTATCAAACAAGTCACAATTTTTTATTCCGGGTAATTATATGTCTAAAGCTGCTGACACTAAATTGTACCAGATTTTGAAGAAAAACTCAAATCCAAACATACACAAAAAAAAAAAAACATTTTTTTCCCTGAAATGTATTTGTGTCTAATAAAAGAAAAGAATTACTGATCTACTGAAATGTATTTAATAATTTGTTTAAAATACTTTTTTGTTAATGACAGCTTCAAGAGTTTTTACTTCTTGACAGTTATGTCCGTGTCTTCTATCAACTCAAATATTTTGTGCTTATTTTCTATTGGATTCAGGTCAGGTAATTGGCTGGACCATTGTAGCAGCTTAATTTTATTTTTCTCAAACCACATTTCCTGAATGTGTGTTGGTATCATTGTCTTGTTGTAATGTCCATTCTGCATTCATCAGACTGCTAATGTAGGTGTTAAGACTGAATTAGCTAATAATAATTTACACTGATAAGGAGCAAGGTTGCTTTCTGACAACTGAGCAATTTTAGTTGCTGTCTGGGCTTTCCATGCCCTTTTAAACCTCCCTTCCTTTATGTGTTCAATACCTTTTCCTTCTGTCATTTCATTTTATTACAGGTAGCTTATTGTTTAATCTAATCAGTTTATTTTTTATTTTTTGCCATCTGGTGAAAATTTCTAATCTGCAGCACCTTTAGAAATAGCAAGTGACAAACTGTTACAAATGATGATGCATTCAATATTTTTTTACCCACTGTAAATGGGTACAATTTTTGTATCCCCTCTCTACCCTAAGCTTCTCAATCTTCATCTTTTCTTTATCCCATACTGAAAGGAAAAGGGTCTCTAGTTCGGGTCATGTTCAAAGCTCGGCGCCCTCTTTCAAGACTAGAAACATATGCACTTTAACTAATGAGAAAATAGTTGTGCTCACATGTGACAATTAAGTCCCAGGTGAATAGGTGCCAGTTTTAAAACTAAATAAAAACATATATAGAGAATATGAATTCTAAAAAGAACCATCAAAAGAAAGCCCTCATTGTCAGTGAACACATGTTTCTAATTTGCGCTTAATCACAGCTTTTCAAGAAAAAGCATTTAAAGTCTGTAAAGTACACACTGATGTCTGTGGAAGTGGCAATAATGATCAGTGTAAGCTTAATTTGAGGACTTCACACTGTGCTTAAAGAATTAATTCACTTCAGAGTAATAGAATGTAAAGATAATTTACTCATCCCAAGTCATCCATGTTGTTCATGTCTTTCTTATTTCAGCTGAAGAGAAATTAATGTTTTGAGGAAAACAGTCCAGGATATAGTGGACATTAGCAGGTACAATAATGGTTGAAGAGCAGCTCAGAAGGGCTCTAAACAATCCCAGATGGGAAAACTGGACATTTATTTTAAAATAATGTTTTCAAAATGTTTATTGTAGTTGTAAAGGCCACTTTTAATTTCACTCAATTTGTCAATGCTTCAATGCTTCATACCTAGCTTGTAGTTTTTTAAAAGTTAATTCAGGAAAATGAACTGCTGTATTGGCTGAAAAAGTTATAAAATACTGGATGGCAGTGCTGGAGCCATATTGTAAATGCTCACAAGCCCTATTTTGTTGGTAACAGTTTATACTGCTCTTCTCCCAGTTCATCAGACATGCATGTCATTTAGGAGGTTGATAAATTTACAGAATCCAACAGCTCTTAATCTCCAAATTGCAGCTTATGCTAAAATTCACCTACAGTATACAGTAACTAAATTAAACACGATCATTATCAAGCTAAATAATAAAATATATGTACTTACACATGTCATAATATAATCTTGTGAAGAAAGATAGTTAATAAAACTAACTACATCTTACTGCTGGATGCAAACCTAGCTGCAATCGCAAACCATGTATTTTTATGTTATGGACAAGAACACAAACAGGTTGATGACACAAATAGGTTAAATAAAAATTTTATTTCTCAAAGGTATAAATGTCAAATGGTGACATTTTGATTAAAGAAGAAAGGAAAGAAACTGATTTTATAGACTGAAAAGTCTGTTCAGGATCAACTTGTTAGTTCAGGCAGAAATATGTCAAAATAGGATGCACACAATGCTAGAGCTGTTATTTATATAGGTCGCCTGCTGGATTCATCCTGTCAGTGACAGTGACATTGCAAATATTAACCTGGGGTTTAGGGATTTACAGTGTATTGTATAGTGTAACATCAGCAAATGAACACGGGGATTAGCTGTTTACCATTTGCAATTTTTGAGCATAACCCAAGAATCCATTTTCTGTCAGCATTAGCTTCTCATTTCTGCACCCATTTTTCCACCCTGTTAGTATCAGCTGATTCACTGGTGCCTTAAAGGCATACTTTTCAAGATTTGCCTCCGCTTCAGCTCACAATCACCTTCTTTGAAGTATAAAAAACACTTCTTACACACTGTTCTTCCCCCTGCTTTGTGAGGTCTTTTTGTGCTATTTCTTATCAGCCCTACACAATTTCTCAACCCTAAAATTGTTGCATTGAGGAATCTGTACTGACTAATAGAAAATTCTGAATGTCTTCCTCTTTTTCAGACTTCTTGCAAGGCAGCAGTGGCTTTCTTTCAGTTCAGTATTCTGGCGAACTACTTCTGGCTGCTGGTTGAGGGGATGTATCTGCAGACTCTTCTAGCACTGACTTTTGTCTCACAGAAGAAGTATTTCTGGTGGTATATACTTATTGGCTGGGGTAAGTTCAGTGCTTGAAAACGTATTGTTATATAATATACAATGGTTAAGTATTTCTTATTTAGAGAATAAGTTAAATTTTTATTAACATTTATAACAGTTTCAATTAGATGTTATGTACACTAAAGCAATACAAATAAGACAGTAATTTGTGAGATGTGATTCCAAAAAGGATTATTTAAAAAATAAAAACTATTTGTTTTCAAATTTAATTTCAAAAACAGAATTAGGCCTACCGCGGTTTTCAATGTTACATGATCCTTCGGAAGTCATTTTAATATGCTGATTTAGAAAGAAACTGTTCTTATCAATTTCTTAACCATATAAAAATATATTTTTTAACAATAAATGTTTTGCTACATGCATACATTTCTCTGACAAATTTTGAGGCCTTTAATTTTTACAGCAACTACAAAAAATTGTTTTAAATCATTATTAAAAATATTATTAAGGGGTTTAATAAGAGTTAATCCTGTACATAATTATGTTTTGTTATATTATGTTTTGTATTTATTGTAATATCAGTTAAAATTGTGTATGCACAAGATGTCTGATCAGAGATCTCATCTTACCATCCTCCAGTTCAACTGTTAAGGCATGAAGAAACAAAACATAACATTTTAAAAAGACATTTTAAAACATAAATATAAAACAATCATTTTAAATTATAATAATATTTCAAAACATTACTGTTTTACTGATATTTTAGTCAAATAAATATAGTAGGATAATGTTAATAAATATTCAATATTATTTATTATATTTTAATATATTATATTATATTGTATATACACTACCGGTCAAAAGTTTCTGGGTCAGTTTTAAATTTTATTTTAATTTTTTTACAAGAATATTATTCTGTTCAAGGCGACATTTATTAAATGTAAGAAAAATTGTTATTTTTAAATATTTATTACAATTTTAAAAAGCTGCATTCTTATTGTAAGTCGTTTCAAATGAAATTATTACTTCAGTCAGTATTGCTTTTAATACTACCAATAATAATAATATTAAAAATTATTTTTAAAAGATTTCTGAAGGATCGTAACTCTGAAGACTGCATTAATGAAGCTTAAAAATCTATAAAATCATTGGAAGAAATTATTAAATTAAATTATAAACTACTTTTGAAAAGTTATTTTATAGTTCAATAACTTTTCACAACTTTAAAATTTTTACTGTATTTTTGAATAAATAAGTGCAGCCTTGGTGAGCAGGATAAGCTTATTTTAAAACATAAAAAAATTCCTACCAATCCCAAACTTTTGACCGATAGTGTACTGTACACTAAATATTTGTAGATACTATAACTATGTACATTCATGATTGGCTATGTAATGTATAAGTACTTGATTGGTTATCTCAATTCATTCTAAGTGTAGCATATAGTTGTTTAACTTGATAATTGTAGTGTGGCTTTCTGAACTGTGTTCCATTGGTGACACCTGTAGGCACAAGGTGAAACTGAAAATTAAACTATTTTTTAACTATTGTTATTAAAATGATAGTTGCTCTTACAGATGACATGAAACCTAGCTTAATGTTTCAGTATGTTTAATCATTTTACAACATGCTATTTGTTTATTCAGAATCAGTTCTGCTGTCTCTAACCTGCAGGTCTACCCACACTAATATTGACTATCTGGGTTCTAGCAAGGAATTTTTTTGATAACAATGGGTAAGTTCAGACGAATCACAGATACTTGTGTCTATGAACTGTGATACTGATATATGATTTATGGTGTTGTATATTGAAATACACACTTATGTATATTTTGTATACATTTTGTATACACACCTGATTTTTTAAGTAATTAGTTAATGTGAATGTTACAGGTGTTGGGATGACACAGATGTTGCTTACTTTTGGTGGATCATCAAAGGACCAATCACTGTGTCTCTTCTGGTATGTGTATACACATTTCTAGATTTGTTGGCATCCAAGGTGAGATTACTATTGTTTACCCCCACACGAGTTGCTTAATTTTATGCTACCCATCAGATCATGTTAGCAGCATCGATATGTAATGTGAGGCCAAAATATCACCCAAACCTAACCAAAACTATAACCCCAACCTCAGAGCAATTTATTTATACTGTTGGTAGCACAATGCGATGCATGAATTTGTGTCCCCTTCAAAAATTGCTTTTGATAAATTGTGTTTACTGTCTACCTAGTTTGCTGGGAGGCAACTGCCCAGTTTGCTTATGCCAAAAACAGTTCTGTCTGTACAGTATAGGCTACAGTAAAACTGTTGATTTTGGTGGAAAACACGCAATAGAATTTTACTAAAATATATGGTTTCAAATAACTTCTGCAAAAATAAAATGTCAGAACATGAGTTAACATAGTTAGTGATCATACTATATTATTATTTATTTTAATTTTTTTTTTCTTTTTTGTCTAGATCAATTTCTTAATCTTCATAAATGTGATCCGGATTCTTGTACAGAAGCTGAAGTCTCCTGGAATGGGTGGCGGTGATACCAACCACTTCATGTAAGACCTGATATGCAAACTTGAAGCAAACTGAAGCTATTTAATCTTCATTATATTTTCAGAGTCTTTTTGCATTATGGGTGCGTTTAGACCTGTAGTATTAGAACTAAATGATACTAAATCTGATTATTAACTTCATTAATGAGTAAAAAGGATTTTAAATGTTACCATGTTTTTAAGTCTACTATCGTTTACAGTACTTGCTTATTACTTTCTCCACAAATAAGTGATGTTTGTTATTAATGCCAAAGATAGAATACACCTTAAAGGACTTTGTTAATGCCGAATGTTATGTGTGCCTGTAGGAGACTGGCCAAGTCTACTCTTTTCCTGATCCCTCTGTTTGGAATGCACTACATGGTGTTTGCCTTCCTCCCAGAGAACACAGGAGAAAATGCTCGCCACTTCCTTGAGCTCGGCTTGGGACCCTTTCAGGTGTGTACAGCCATGCTAATGAAAGACAAAGTCAAAACCTTTTATAAAATGTTTCATTCTGAACTGTGCACCATTTAAATTCACTGATTTCTGATGCTCACCATTTGTAAAATTGTTTGCTTAACAGTATAATATATTACATGATATTCAAATAGCACTTGTATTTTTGTTTTTTCTTTCTCTTTTGACAGCAAAATGAGAAACATGCTTGTTAAAAAGGTTTCACATTTCTAACCCAATCTAGTTGACTTGACAAGATAATTACGTGGAAAGCCATTGTATTAGAAAAACGAAAAGCCATGCTTGAATTAAAAATCTGAACCTGAAGTTCTTTGTTAATTCAACGAGGGCTGTTTAGTTTCACAGTGTTTAAAACTTAAGTGGTTTAAGACGACATGTTTCCACACAATCTTGGGTAAAGTGTGTTATAGAATGGTCCCATGTGGATATTTGAAGTGTTCTGGGGTGTTATAGAGTTTAGTTTAAAAAAACAACAAAACAAATAAAACTCATTATTCAGTTTACTGTGTGTTCATATTTTATAATCACCCATAAGTGGGCAGGTAAGACGTTATAGGAAATCCATAATGAATATCCAAAACAAAATACAATCCATGGACTGTCTTCTCTGAGATTAATATATTTTGTGTTTGGTGCAACAAGAATGTATTGTATTCATCTGTTAACTGAACTTTGATCTTGATCTTGATCTGAGAGATGTTCAGCTCTGGATATTTTTCGGTATATTTCTAAGCACTGTTTTGTTCATCTGGTGAACATGTATTCTTTTCCAGTGTCAAAGTGAATTTAACTGCATTTCAATAAAGTTTCATAAAAGTGCAGTTGTGCTCAAAGACAGCAGGTCAAGGTCAGGGTTTTCTTTAAATAATACATTGAATTTAGATTTGTCTTTAAATAAACCCTATCATGGAACCAGCTTAATGCAGGTTGCGATTCACTACCTTTATAAAGTATAGATGAGCTTGAGCAGGACATTTTTTTATTCTTCATTTTGCGGTTATATTATATTTATGTATTATTGGACAAGCAAATGTTGAATTATACTGTAATATAATATAACTTAAAGGCTGAATTGCTTAGCACATGTTCACTTAGTATTGTCATAACACATTTCTATAATTGACTACATACTTATTACACTTTGCTTACCATAATCAAATCATAACTTAAAGGGCCATGAAACCCCCATCTTTCGACTCAAGTCTACCTCAAAATTTTTCAAAAAATGCTTCATAATGGGCATGGAGCACTGCAAGCAGAGGGGGGAGTGGGCGTGGCCGGCAGAGCAGGGAAGAAAAAAGGAGAGTGAACAGTTGTTGTCAGTAGGCTCACAAAATGAGACACAAACTGTGAGACCTATGATTTTATAGTTCACAAAGTTAAAATGCAAAGAAATAAGCAGTAATTTAATGGCCTGCTACATATGTTATTCATAACTTCATATACACATAACCAAAATTTGTTATATCATTATAAAGATAATCGTGTTAACACTATAAATGAGGAGGACTTCTCTCCTCCTGAATCCCTGCGTTTGAATGCAGACACAGTGGATAGCAGTGCAGCAGGTATTGCTCTCTTTTCCTGTCTATTCCAACCATTAGCCCTGTCAGTAATCTGGAGGATTTTAAACATATGGTGAACAGAGCAGCATGGATAGGCAATGTGTCTGATTTGTAACAAACTCAACTGATAAAGACAAAGTCCATCGTTCCCCAATTCTCGTACAAATCTCTTGACAAAAATGCTTGCTGCAAACCAACAACTTTGCTGTATCAGCCCTGACAGCATTGCGCGAAAAAACATGCGACAAACCCTGTGGATCATGGAAACCAACACATACACCCCTTCATGAACGGCTAAATTCTGCTTGCTATGCACGGACGTGGTCTCATTCAGTCATTAGGTCTTACAGCTTGGCAGGTCTGCCTTGCCTTCAGAAAGCATGTGCTCTCATGAATAATTAATAAGCAGGGTCCTCTCATAGGATAAGAAAACTTTGCTATGAATAATAATGAGAAACTGACAAATCATCACTCCACTAGCACATTCAAACTACGTCACCAATTTCGCTCCCATTCGGTCCAAAATTAGCTGACAAAAGCTCAAAATTATCCCGTTTTCAATTAAAGCTGACAGGTATTAAAATTGTCTTAACTGATGCTCAACACACACAAATCTGTTAAAATCTCAAAAAATGTACTTGAGGGTTTCTTGAACCTTTAAAACATGTAACAGCCATTATTTCAATTTTGACATATTATTTCACTTGCTCCAGATCTTTATTCACAAAAAAACTATTAATTAACCTAAAATATGTTAACAGCTTCTATAAGAAATCCTGTGCACACTCTTAACTTATCATATGCCTTACGTTTACTCATTTGTAAAAAAAAAAAAATGTTTTGTGACCATAGACCACAAAACCAATTGAGATTTTTACATCACCTGAGAGTAGAATCTTTTTTTTTTTTTCTTTTTTTTTTAGATTGATGTATACTTTGTTAGATAGAACAATATTTGGTCAAGATACAACTAGTTGAGTATTAGTATATTGATAAAATTGTCTTTAAAGTACAATGAATGTCATATGCATATTACTAATCTAAAACTAGTTTTGACATATTTGTTGTAGGAATGTTACAAAATACCTTCATGTAACATGATCTTTATTAAATAGTGTCAGGATGTTTGGCATTTGGCATTAAATAGATCATTTTGACCCATAAAAAGTTTTTTTTGGCTATTGCCAATAATTCTAATTAATTTATGTTTGTTTCTATAGTGCTTTTACAATGTAGATTGTGTCAAAGCAGCTTAACATAGAAGTTCTAGTAAATTGAACCTGTGTCTGTTCAGTTTTTAGAGTTGAAGTTCAGTTTAGTTTAGTTCAGTGTGGTTTAAATTTCACTGCTGAAAGTCTAAACACTGAGGAGTAAATCCATCGATGTGCAACTCCACAAGTCCCAATTTTTCTTAACCTGTTCAACATAGCACTGATTTTGTGGTTCATAGCCACATTTAGAACCATTTGTCTTTTACATTTTTATAATATAATATAATATAATATAATATAATATAATATAATATAATATAATATAATATAATATAATATAATATAATATAATATAATATAATATAATATAATATAATATAATAAAGTATCAAATAACATGAAAAATATTGGCTAGTTACTGCAGTTGTTAAATTAATTAAGCTTTTCCTGTACTGTGATTGTTAATGCAGCTTCACTGACTTTGTATTATACTTCTTTGTGTTTTAGGGTTTTGTTGTGGCTCTGTTATACTGTTTTCTTAATGGCGAAGTAAGTCACACATTTTTTTCTGTGTGAAAATCTATCCTGTTTCCCATCCTGTTTCCCAAATGCATATGAATTTGTTTGTTTCAGGTACAAGCAGAGCTGAAGAAGAGACTGTGGAAGTGGCAAACACAAAGTTATTTGAGATACAGTAAGAGAAGACGAACCCTCTTTACAGAGAGCAGCACAGTCACACAAATCTCCGTTTTAGAGAAATCCAGCCCTAAGGAGCTGCCCTTAACCGAGTCCAACAACAGTGTGTCCACCGTCTGAAACCAGGCTTTACATTCATCTCATGTCTTGTTTACTTTTTGATATTTCTTCTTTCTGAAACATAGTAGACTAAGAGACTTTCAGACTACATCTGAAAACAGACTTGTTTTTGTTTTAAAATGCTCTCCGTCTGCAAGTGTTTTCGATTGCTTTCCAAATATTTCTCATCCACATTAAAACATCAGAAATCACAGAAATTACTATAAATGATATGTTAAAAAATCTTAGTGAAAGCAGACATAAAAGTTCTTGTGCTATCTTATGGCACCTTCATTCAGGTCGAACTTAATCCTAATTTTAAAATGTTCTATCACTATTGAATGCTTGTAATCTGATCATTGTACAAAGCAACATTAATCTATAGCAACACAAAGTCGAAGTGAATAGGACATAGTGGGAATTTACTTAACAAAATATAGGCCTTGTACACTCTATTAATACATTTTCAGGAGTGACAAGCACATTTAAATATTAGACTAAATATTTGACACAATTTATGTTTTACATTTGTATGAAATACGACACCTAATCGAACTAAACAGAAATGGAATTAGGACATGTGGAGTATGTCGATTTTAATCGCATTACTAAAGTGCAGAACAGACTTGTAAACACCTTAATCGAACCATTACCATCATGTAGGACTTTTCACTTTGTGTTTGTAACTTTACAGAGAGCATCTTAAAACGTAGTTTTTTTTTTTTTTTTTTTTCAGATGTATCTGGATTGGTGTAGATCAGAGGTTTCCACACTCTGTCCTGTAGGGCCAGTGTTCTAGGGAATTTTACTCCAACCCTAATCAAACACACCTGAACCAGCTAATCAAGCTCTTACTAGGTATACTAGAAACTTTCAGGCAGGTGTTGAAGCAAGTTGGAGCTAAAGTCAGCAGGACACCGGCCCTCCAGGACCGACTTTGGACACCTCTGGTGTAGATGAAGCTTAAAATCACATGGACCAAATTTAAAGAACTCTTCTGTAAGCAAGAAAATACAGAAAAAAATATATTATTATTTATGCAAATGTCATGCATTGAAGATCTTATAAATAGACTGAAACATCCAAAGACATTTTTTTTCTTTTCTACGCATCACTGAAATATGAGCACTGTAACTTATTCACAATGCAAAAGCACAAATCATATTATTTATTAAAGATTATTGACGCTATTTACAGAACTTTTTTTATTATGCAGTTTTGTGATTCTTGTGATCTACTTGCATTATATGCAGCTTAATTGCTTAGTGTAGAAAATGATGATCACAACTGAACTTTATAAGACGTGTTGCTCGGTAAGTCATATTCATCACTCCTTCATTTGTCATTTGACTTTTAGTTGAAATTGCCTTGATGATAAACAACAAACTGCCTTACAGTAAACTGAGACCTCATTTTTGGATTTCCACAAATAATAGCTAACAATTAAAGGTATTTTCCTATTCATTAAAGCATCTTCATATATTTATAAATGTGTTTCAAGGCACCATATTGCACAGTGCACTAGCCCTGTATGTACAAAGAAATATTACATTTCTACAGGACACACAAAGCATTCATTTGTTTCTTAAAAAGCGGTTATTTTCAAGATATTTTATTCATCATAATTAAATGAAATTTTATTATATTTATTGCAAAGGAAAATGTTTTGAGACACATGAATTTGCAGAACTCATCGAATATTTGACATACTGTAATATGTGACAGTTATTGACACAATTGGGTGGTATAATAATAATGAATAATAGTGTTTTGAAAATTCCCTATTTAGGAATGCTTTGCAGTGCACACATCTGGAGCACTACACTGTAAAGTTCCTTGTTGGTAGAAATGTTTTCTGCTTTCAACATGTTTTATTGTTGCTAATTGTATTTGTAAATATACTTGCTGCTTGTGGTAGATTTGACCTGATGTCTAATGTTTTCCGCTCTGTTATTTGGTGTTTTGATAATGTATATAGAGTTTAATTAATATGAATATTTATTTTAATTAATAATAATTTTTAAACAAATGTATTTGTACCTAAGCTATTATTATTTCACTATATTATTATTATTATTATTATTATTATTATTATTATTATTATTATTATTATACTATATGCTGTCTAGACTATGTGGGACTAAGAATTCAAATCATCCAAACATGATGTGAAAACGGAATTAGGGCCCGTTTTGGTACGGTACGCTACAGTTCGGTATGCTTTTATGTCAGTTTCCACTGTCAAAGGAACATCTGTAACTTTCTGACAATCTGGTTATGGTATATGATTTATTTATTCCCTGATTGTTTTCAATATTGTGTTGTGTATTGTCTTATCTGCTTGTGCTAGATTCTAGATTCTCATTGTCCTAACTGTGTGCGTTGTTGTTACATTCACCAACCTGCCTTAACGTATTGAGTTATCAGATGTGTGGTTTTGTTAAACGTGTGGAGTAAAAACCTTTATTTTGTGCTTTATGACATTATTATTGTATTAATATTGTATATATGAATGTAGTTTTGGATGAAGACAAAACTAATTTGATTGCTTATTGAAAGACCACGTTATTTATAGCAGTATTTCTCAACCATGTTCCTGTAGGACCACCAGCTTTGCACATTTTACTTGTCTCCACATTTTACTTGTCTTACTTGTAACCAAACACACCTGATTCTGATCAACAACTCATTAGCAGAAACTGAAAGACCTGTAATGGGTTTGACAGATATCTAAAACATGCAGTGTTGGTGCTCCTCCAGGAATGTGGTTGAGAAACACTGATTTACAGAATCATGGTGCAGCCCATGAATACTATTTAATTAAGTTGTCATTTTAAAACTTTATATTTTGCCACTGAAACTATTAGGTTTTACCAGTTTGTCAGCAAGATTTAATTTTTTATCAATTAAATACAATGAAAATTAACATGAGGATTTATTTGTTTTTGTTTTGTTAGAGTAAGTTTGTCATTTTATTTTTACATAAAAAAATCTATTACTCTAAATGACGAAAGAATATTATTTCTCCGATAATTTTAGAAATTTTTATTCAGATTATATATATCATATTAATAATGCTTTTTTTCCCTACAATTTTATCTACCCCTTTTACTACCTGACAAAGTCTTGTCGTCTATCCAAATTCTGCTGAAGAATTTGCCCTCTCCTGTGGTTTGTAATGTAATGGGCAGCACAAATGTCTTGATACCTCAGGCTGTTGATGTTGCCGTCCACTCTACAGATCTCTTGCAGGCCCCCATACCGAATGTAACCCCAAACCATGATTTTCCCCTCACCAAACTTGACTGATTTCTATGAGAATCTTGGGTTCATGTGGGTTCCAGTAGGTCTTCTGCCGTATTTGTGATGATTGGTATGCAATTCAACAGATCATTAGGAAAAATCTGCCTTCTGCCACTTTTCCAAATAATCAACTAGAAGTTATTATTTTTTGCTCTTACAACTGGGATCGACAACAAGACTTTTTTTGCAGGTGTAAATTATATATTTTTGGTATCTTTCGAGCAAGATTGCTAAATAGAAAATTGCAAGTACAAATTCTTTTTCCAAAAAAAAAAAGCCCCAAAATTTAATGATGTTTTCAAATCAGAAGTCTGTCATATAGCATACACACACATCAAAACAGAAAAAAGGACAGTTTGTACAGTACATTACAATCAGTGACATAAAATATACCAAAGAAAAAAAAATACACAAAAAGCTAGCAACTTTCCACTAAAGCAAGTTCAGCTGTAGTAAACATCATCTAGAACATTCAAAGAAATCTACTGTCATTTACAAGTCTCCCAAATCACGGTAATATTAACATTCTAAATACTAGACGTATTCTCTGATACTGTATACTGGAGCTTAAAATAAGACATGTAGTGTGCATGAAGTGACATTAAGTGTTTTGCATCTCCATCCACATCACAATGTTAGCTCTATATTTAGCTATATATACACATCAAAATCCCTATCTTGTTCTACAATACTAGTTATACATTTTCAAACAATTCAATTTACAAAAAAAAAAAAAAAACTAAACAAATGTCATGTCTGCTCTGTAATCAAATATAAAAAGAACACATATTGTCATCTCCATACCCGTGTCACGTTGACAGCTCACTTCATTTCATCATCAGCCCATTTTTTATGTATATTCTAAGCCATATATGTAATCATAACTGGGAAATTGGAATGGAAATTGCAGGCACAAGTGCTAAAGCATCACTATAGTGTCTGTCGAATGTTGTAAGAGGTATAAAAGGTGCAGGTTTTCTAGTTTTGAGTGGTTGTATGTACAAATATGTGCTGCCATCCAACTCCTTTCAATGAGAGGTATCAGAGAGGTGTTTCAAATGTACTAAATCTATACAAAAAGTACTGTAATAATTAACAGAATATATTAAAAATAGTTGTGATGTGTTTTCGAGAAAGTGCACATGCTTGTTGGCCCTATTTTTTTCCCTTTTCTCTTGAACAACAATATTGCTGCACATTAATAAGAAGTCACTCACTTTCTTTGTATGTTTTAGCATCCACTAAATCACAGGAAAACATGCATTGTTTAAGATGAATAGACAATGATGTTGGAAAAACTATGTTTAAACATTAGCTCTTTAGTTAACAATTATGATAGAAATTTGTATTTTAAATAAAGCCCAGTGTAAAATCTGTTAAATGGCCACAAGTGTTTGTGTTACTTTAACATTTATACACATAAACATAGATAATTTATTGTTATTTATTTAGCTCTAAAGTGTCTACAATGTATTGCTACAGATTGCTTATTTAATGTAATGATAAATCACACTGATTATGTCATTTAATGAGAGACTTTACTAAATACACTTGTTTTTTAATTATTGACATTGACTTTTTCATGAAGAACCTATGTAAATAACCTTTTGTTTGCAAGAAACATCATTTATAGCTAGAAAAAAAAATGTATTATTGAATTATTCTGTAAAAAAAAAAAAAAAAGGGAATTGACAACTGAAGGGGACCCAAATTGGTCCTTTTAATAAATGGAAAAAATCTAACTTACCTTTTTGAGAGTTTATTAAGAATATTCAAAATTGTTTATTTTGTCCTGTGGTAAAAGTTAAAATACTTTTGTAGTTTTTTTTAAATAATAAAATATCACCTAGTCCTTATACTGTGTGTATTATTTAGTATGTTGCTGCAAAAATTTTCGCCATTAAAATTATGTTTAATTTTAATTTTAATTTTTTTTAAAAGCGTGTTTTCTTGGAAAATATATAATACATCAATTACAATAAATAATCATAATTACAGGATTTACCTTCTTGCTTGTTGAAAGTAAATGAACACTAAACTTCCCACTTCAAATGTTCAAGAATCTATATACAGCATCATTTTACATATAAATAAATAACAATCATA